AGTTGTATTGTGATATCTTGTATGAAATCAAGAGAAATAGTTAAATACTTGCAAACATAATGAGAGGGGAGCTGAGCACCAGTGTGGTGAGACGCAGAGCACCGAACAGAACACTGATGGTCATTTGTCTAGATTGTGAATGTTCCGATCGAATGTAGTGGACCTTTATCACACAGCATTGTGTAGTATCCAAATTGTAGTAGCAGGTGTGATCCACAGCGATACAAGAGAATGAAGAAACGCATCTCACTGATAAGTGAATTATAGTGGCGAAAACTATCAGACCGTAAACCACGGTGAGAGTCGAGGCGGAAAAAGGCAGATTTCGACGGATTCTATCATTCTTGAGAGTCACAAGCTGTCAAGAGTTTTCCACTGACCCTTTCTACGGAGACAAAGGAATTTTTACCAAAGTCAGTTGTGTGAGGAACCGTAGAAAAGGTGAACCTTATAGCAGAGAAAATGATCAAGCTTGCGGAAGAGTAGCAAGGTCAATAAAAGATAAGAGACCCCAGTGTAAATCAGTTGTCACATCGAAACGCCAAAAAAGGGGATTCGCTTTCAAGAGCTCCCGCTTAGTTCAGCTGGAGTTAGGTCGTATTTTAAACAATTTGCTTGTGCGTTAATAACGCATAAACAGTAAAATGGGAATTTTTCGCTTGAGAAAACTACTTTGTGTGTGTGAATCCCTTTCATATGAAATAACAAACTGTCCCAGTGAAAATTATTTTATACAACCGACCGAATTTGGATAGAGGGGTAGTCGAGAGGGTGTCAATTCCGTTCCGTATTTTGCTCCATTAATTATTCACAACTTCGACCCAGTGTATCAATCAATTCCCAGACATAGAAATAGTTGTCTATCATCATTTCTGTTGTTTGCAGCGCATGGACGCTCAACAGCAGGCGTGCATGCATACATGCTCTGAACGGGAAGAGATTGTGTTTATGTTGTTCTGCCACATAGCTCAGTTCAATTTGTGCACTTTAAAGTATGACTTCGGTGTCCCAGATTGAATCCTTACATTACACAACTCGTGTGGGTTTGGAAAAACACAGTCGCATTGTTGTTCACTTTCAAGTAATAAATGATTGGTTGGGTAGGTCTCATTCGCGTTGATTTCCTTTTATACTGTTTTCCGTGTTTTTGGCAGCACTTTATTTGTAACACCATCGCCCCCTCCCCTCCGTCCTTACATTTTGATCACCCTGGGATGGTGAACGGAAATCGACGGTACGAATGATGTACGCTCTAGAATCACGTACACCATTAAAGCACAAAACGGATGAAAAAGCATCAAAAAGGCAGGGCGNCATAATAATCATTGCCATTATTCTTCATAAACCGTCTCTCTGAATTCTCCATGTGTACCCAGCATTACCTTCGTTTGATTTTTCAGTCGATATTATAAGTTTTACCATATATATCCCTCATAACAAGTATTATATAGATGACTCGCCAAAATTTCTCACGAAGCATATGAACGGTTTCGCGGTTCTTGCCACTCTTCAGGCATGCGTATCCGGTGATTTTTGTCACTTCATACATATACTTGTATTTGAGATACTCCATAAAGACGCTCAAGTCATGTTTGTTGCGGTTAGTAGCATCTAAC